GGGGGGGGGGGGGGGGGGGGTGATGATGGTGGGAAGTTGCGGTCCTTGAAAAACAAGGACATCTGGGATGTACGGACTGGAATGCCTCATCCTGGGAGCAGATGCGGCGGAGGCGAAGGAATTGGGAATAGGGGATGGCACTTTTGCAGGAGGGTGGATGGGAGGAGGTGTATTCTAGGTAGCTGTGGGAGTTGGTGGGCTTGAAATGGATATCAGTTTCTAGGTGGTTGCCAGAGATGGAGACAGAGGGGTCCAGGAAGGAGAGGTATTAGAGATGGTCCAGGTGAACTTACGGTTGGGGTGGAAGGTGTTGGTGAAGCGGATGAACTGTTCGAGCTCCTCGTGGGAGCACGAGGCGGCGCCGATGCAGTCAATGTAATGGAGGAAGAGGTGGGGTCTAGGGCCAGTGTAGGCACGGAAGAGGGATTGTTCCACGTAACCTACAAAGAGGCAGGCATAGCTTGGGCCCATGTGTGTACCATGGCCACCCCCATTGTCTGTAGGAAGTGGGAGGAATTGAAAGAGAAGTTGTTGAGGGTGAGGACGATTTCAGCTAAGTTCTCGGTGTGGTCAGGTTTTATTTGAGCTCCTCGATGCCATACTCTGTCAAATATTGCTTCTGATGTCTAAGGCAGTCACTTTCACATTAGCTCTTTTGCCCATTATGGGACTGGAGCTGTAATGAGGTCAGGAGCTGAGCTGCCTTGGCTGAAACCAAACCGAGTTACAGCAGGTCATTTCCTTCATAAGTGCTACCTGGTAGCACTGTCAACGACCCCTTCATTTACTTTGCTGATGATCAAGAGTAAACTAACAGTGTGGTCATTGGGCAGGTTGGATTTATCTTGCTTATTGTGCGCAGTACCCCAGTGGGCAATTACCACATTATCAGACAGATGCCAGGGTTGTAACTGTGCTGGAACAGTTTGGCTGGGGGTGCAGTTCTGTGACACAGGTCTTCAGTGGAATGTTGCCTGGGCCCATAGCTTTGAGTATTCAGTGTCTTGATATCATGTGGACCGAATGGAATTGGTTGAAGACTGGTAAAACAAACAAAGGCAGGACTTGTATAATTAATGGTGAGGCCCTGGGTAGTGTTGTAGAACAGAGAGACTTAGGGGTTCAAGGTTCATGGTTCATGATTCTTGATTCTTTGAAAATTTGTGTCGCAGGTAGACAGGGTGGTTAAGAAGATGTTTAGCACTCTTGCCTTCATTGCTCAGACCTTTGAACCTACCAAACAGAACTACTTGTGTACCAAACAGCATAAGCAATAAGTGATAGACACAGCTAAGTGATCCCACAACCAATAGATTAGCTCCAAACTCTGCAGTCTGGCCATATGCAATCTTGAACAGTGGTGGACAATTAAACAACTCAATGCAGGAAGCAGCTCCACAAATACCCCCATCTTCAATGATGCAAGAGCCCAACACATCCGTGCAAAAGACTTTCCACATCAAGCAGATGTTCACCTGCACATCTGCCAATGTGGTATACTGCATCCGCTGTACCCAGTGTGGCATCCTCTACATCGGGGAAACCAAGCGGAGGCTCGGGGACCGCTTTGCAGAACACCTACGCTCGGTTCGCAATAAACAACTGCACCTCCCAGTTGCGAACCATTTCAACTCCCCCTCCCATTCCTCAGACGACATGTCCATCCTGGGCCTCCTGCAGTGCCACAACGATGCCACCCGAAGGTTGCAGGAACAGCAACTCATATTCCGCTTGGGAACCCTGCAGCCCAATGGTATCAATGTGGATTTCACAAGTTTCAAAATCTCCCCTCCCCCCACCGCATCCCAAAACCAGTCCAGCTCGTCCCTGCCTCCCTAACCTGTTCTTCCTCCCACCTCAAGCCGCACCTCCGTCTCCTACCGACCAACCTCATCCCGCCCCCTTGACCTGTCCATCCTCCCTGGGCTGACCTATCCCCTCCCTAACTCCCTACCTACACTCAGCTTTACTGGCTCCATCCCCGCCTCTTCGACCTGTTTGTTTCCTCTCCACCTATCCTTTCCTCTATCCCTCTTCTATCCGCCTCCCACTCTCCCTATTTATTTCAAAACCTCCTTCCCCTCCCCCTTTTCTGATGAAGGGTCTAGGCCCGAAACGTCAGCCTCTCTGCTCCTATGATGGTGCTTGGCCTGCTGTGTTCATCCAGCCCTGCACCTTGTTGTCCCAGTGCAAAAGATAAGGCTGAAGCATTCACCGCAATCTTCAGCCAAAAGTGCCGGGTGGATGATCTATCTCAGTTCCCTCCAGTGATCTACAACATCACAGTTGTCAGGCTTCAGCCAATTCCATTCACTCCATGTGATATCAAGAAACTGTTGGAGGCACTGGATACGCAAAGCTTATAGCCCCTGACAAAATTCCAGCAATAGTATTGAAGACTAGTGCTCCAAAACTTGCCATTTCCCTCGCCAAGCTCGTGCAGTTGTTACAACACTGGCATCTATCCAACAATGTGGAAAATTGCCCAGGTAGTTCCTGTACATAAAAGGCAGAACAAATCCAACACAGCCAATTACCACCCCAATCAATCTACTCTCAGGTTTCTTTAAAGGTATGAAAGGATCTGTTAGGGTAGACCAATAAAAGATATTCCCATTTGTGGGGAATTCAAAAGCAGGTATCTGAAATATAAGATAGCCTCCAATAAATCCAATAAGATGCGAGAGAGTCAGCATTTATGGAGTACAGACCAATTGGGCCAAATAGTCTGTTCCTGTGCTATAAATTGTGTGTGCATGTTTTTTTTTTTAAAAACAATCATGGCATCTTTCGTAAATAATTAGACAAAACTACAAATGAGCACAATACTTAAGTTTCCTCGGTTATATTCTCACCTCAGAAGCCCTTTCATTTGACTTGGAACTAACATTTTCTTCACACCCTCTTGGTAACCTTGATTGAAACCACGTTGTAAGGTGGATTCTCGGCCAGCATTTAGCCCATCCCTATAGCCTTCCTAGAAATAAATATTTGGAAACCAGTGACTCAATCAGTGACCAATAGCTGGACAATAACACTAAGCATGATATTTGATGCATCATCCATCCACAAATGGTGCTTCCAACATATGAATAAGAGTTATGAAGTTCACCTCAGCTCAGAGTACAGAAACGTAATGGCTATGCTACCTGATGAATAAATCAGAAGACGCAACTTCCCATCAAGAACTCTGATCATTTCACAAAGGGCTAGACGGCCTACTCAATGGCAACTTACTTTATGTAGTGCCTTTGAGCTAGTAAAATGTTCTAAGACATATTTAGATTTTAAGTCTCACAGAAGAGTTACTAAGCCACCTAAGGAGACATTAAGACAATGAGCAAAAGCTTGGTCAGGGGTAAGTTTTAAGAAATACTTTAGAAACAGAGGTATGGGGATTTAGGCCAAGAATTCTAGACCCGAGTTTCTATGCAGCTAAAGCAGTTAAAAAAGGAATGCACAATCAGGCAGAGATTTCAGAGGGTTGAAGACATAGAAACATACAGGAGTAGGAGGAGGAGGAGGCATTTGGCCCTTGGAGCCTGCTCTACCATTCATTATGATTGTGGCTGATCATCAACTCAATAGCCTGTTCCTGCTTTTCCCACATATCTTTTGACGCCTCAAGTGCTATACCTGACATCTTGAAATCGAGATAACAAAGTGTAGAGCTGGATGAACACAGCAGGCCAAGCAGCATCAGAGGAGGAAGGAAGGCTGATGTTTCGGGCCTAGATCCTTCTTCAGAAATGGGGGAGGGGAAGGGGGTTCTGAAATAAATAGGGAGAGGGGGAGGCAGATGGAAGACGGATAGAGGAGAATATAGGTGGAGAGGAGACAGACAGGTCAAAGAGGTGGGGATGGAGCCAGTAGAGGTGAGTGTAGGTGGGGAGGGAGGGAGGAGATAGGTCAGTCCAGGGAGGACGGACAAGTCAAGGGGGTGGGATGAGGTTAGTAGGTAGGAGATGGGGGTGGGGCTTGGGGTGGGAGGAGGGGATAGGTGGGAGGACGGACAGGTTAGGGAAGCGGGGACGAGCTGGCTGGTTTTGGGATGCAGTAGAGGGAGGGGAGATTTTGAAGCTTGTGAAGTCCACATTGATACCATTGGGCTGCAGGGTTCCTACGAGGAGCTCGAACAGTTCATCCACTTCACCAACTCCTTCCACCCCAACCTTAAGTTCACCTGGACCATCTCCAATACCTCTCTCTCCTTCCTGGACCTCTGTCTCCATCTCTGGCAACCACCTAAAAACCGATATCAATTTCAAGCCCACCGACTCCCACAGCTACCTAGAATACACCTCCTCCCACCCACCTTCCTGCAAAAATGCAATCCCCTATTCCCAATTCCTTCGCCTCCGCCGCATCTGCTCCCAGGATGAGGCATTCCACTCCCGTACATCTCAGATGTCCTCGTTTTTCAAGGACCGCAACATCCCCCCCCTCGTCAGTGGTCGAGAATGTCCTCAACCGTGTCTCCCGCATTTTCCGCAACTCATCCCTCACACCCCCTCCCCGCAATAACAACCAAAACAGAATCCCCCTCGTCCTCACGTACTACCCCACCAACCTCCAGATCCAATGCATCATCCTCCGACACTTCTGCCACCTGCAATCCGACCCCACCACCAAAGACATTTTTCTCTCCCCAGCCTTATCTGCTTTCTGGAGGGACCACGCTTTCCGGGACTCCCTTGTCCGCTCCACACTCCCCTCCAGCCCCACCACACCCGGCACTTTTCCCTGCAACTGCAGGAAGTGCTACACCTACCCCCTCCCTCCTCACCCCCATCCCAGGCCCCAAGAAGACTTTCCACATCAAGCAGATGTTCACCTGCACATCTGCTAATGCACACTGCATCCGCTGTTCCCGTTGTGGCCTCCTCTACATCGGGGAAACCAAGCGGAGGCTTGGGGACCACTTTGCAGAACACCTACGCTCAGCTCGCACTAACAACTGCACCTCCCAGTCGCGAACCATTTCAACTCCCCCTCCCATTCCACAGACGACATGTCCATCCTGGGCCTCCTGCAGCGCCACAACGATGCCACCCGAAGGTTGCAGGAACAGCAACTCATACTCCGCTTGGGAACCCTGCGGCGCAATGGTATCAATGTGGACTTCACGAGCTTCAAAATCTCTCCTCCCTCTACTGCATCCCAAAACCAGCCCAGCTCGTCCCCGCCTCCCTAACCTGTCCTTCCTCCCACCCCAAGCCCCATCCCCATCTCCTACCTACTAACCTCATCCCGCCCCCCTTGACCTGTCCGTCCTTCCTGGACTGACCTATCTCCTCCCTACCTCCCCACCTACACTCACCGTTACTGGCTCCATCCCCACCTCTTTGACCTGTCTATCTCCTCTCCACCTATCTTCTCCTCTATCCATCTTCTATCCGCCTCCCCCTCTCTCCCTATTTATTTCAGAACCCCCTTCCCCTTCCCCTTCCCCTCCCCCATTTCTGAAGAAGGGTCTTGGCCCGAAACGTCAGCCTTCCTCCTCCTCTGATGCTGTTTGGCCTGCTGTGTTCATCCAGCTCTACACCTTGTTATCTCAGATTCTCCAGCATCTGCAGTTCCTGCTTTCTTGAAATCGAACAATGTTTTGGCCTTGACTGTTTTCTTGTTAGCAAATTCCACAGACTCACCATTCTCTGGGTGAAGAAATTTCTCCCCATCTCAATCTTAAATGGTGTACCCTGCATCCTTAGAAGACAGTACAAAGCAGATTAGAGTAAAAGGTGTTGAAGAAATTGGGAACAAGTATCAGAACACTGAAGCTGAAGTGGTGCAGTCCAGAAGATAATGTAATCAGTGTGTACAGCAGATATAGATAAACAGAAAAAAAAAACATTCATTGGGATACGGACAGAATTTTGAATGAGTTTAGGTTTACGGAGGGTGGAAGATGGAGGTCAAACCAGAACATTGTTGTCTTCAGACTTGAGGATTCCAAAGGTATGGATGCTGGTCTCAGGAAAAAAACTAAGGTAGGGCAGGGAGAGAATATTACCGAAGTGAATGTGATTAGAAGCTCATCTCAAGATCAAATAGGATGCTAAGGTTGTAAATGGTCTCAGCCTCAGACAGTAATCAGGGAGAGAGAGAACAGATTTTGAGAGAACCAAAGACAATAGTTTTAATGCTATCAACACAGTTCACAGAATCATTACACACAGGAAAGGAGGCCATTCAACCTATCATGTCTCTTGCAACGATAACTCTCAGTATCACACCCATCTTTCCCTGTAGCTCATAGATTTTCCTTTTTCGGAAAACAATCCAGTTTGCTTTTGAACATGGCATTGCATTCCAAATCCTAACCATCTCATTCTGTCACAATTGCTTCTTTTTGCCAGTTACCTTATGCCTGCGCCCTCTAATTTGTGATCCTTCCGCTAATGTAATTTATTTTCATCTATTCTGCCAAATCTCTAAAGATTTTGAACACTACTAACAAATCATCTCTCAACCATCACCAAGAACAGTCCTAAATTCTACATTCACTGTAAGTAGAGGAAATTTTTGTTTGTCTATCAAGTTATCTGACAGAGCGTGGGAATTGATGGGAGTTATAGCAAGGCACAGATATTGTCATCTCGTCTTTGGAATATGAACAATTGATGCCACTAACAGGCAGCATGTAGATGAGATTTATGAATGATTTAATGATGGAACTTCAGGGGTAACAGTGTAAGTGGGAACAGAAGTAATTGACTCTCTGCCTAGGACTTAATAAATAACAATGGAACCAGTCAAGGGCAGTCCCATGTGCAACCAAAGTGATATTGTCAACATTGTCGAAGGCTCCAGATAGGTGAAGAATACAAAGAAAGAAGAGGCTTACTATGATCACATTATATCACTTGTGACACTGATGAAGGCCACTGCAGTGTTGTGGGAGGGGAAATAGTCTGATCGCAGAGATTCCACATTGCAGATTTGGAAAAGACGTACATGGACTTTGAGATAATCTTCAACAACTTTGCAGCGCAACAAAATGTTTGCGATTGGGCAACAGTTTGAGGGAACTGATCGATCAAGAATTTTTTTTTTTATTGAGAAGTGGTTAATGATAGCAGATTTGAAGAGAGGGAACAGCTAAAAACAGGGGCTAGAAAGGGAAGTTGATCATTAGCTGTTTTCTTTATTATTATGGGATGTGGACATCATTGAGATTGCTAAGATTTGTGGCCCATCCCCATTTGCCCCTGAACAGAGTGCTCAGCTATTTCAGAGGGGAATTAGGAGTCAACTGCATTGCTGTGGATCTGGAATGATGTAGGCCAAACCAGGCAATGACGGCAGATTTCCTTTCCTAACCTAAAGGTCTTTAGTGAACTAGATGTGTTTTTACAACAACTAATTAAATTTCACAGTCACAGTTAAAAAAGGTAGCTTTCAATTCCAGATCTATTAATGGACTTTAAATGCCATTCGCTGGCACAGTGGCATTTGAACAGGCACCCATTGTGCTTTAGCATAGGCATCTGGTGATCTAGTCCAGTGACATGACCACTAAACCACTGTCTCCTCACTAGGTCAGAATAAGATCCAGAGAGCAAGAAGTGAAAGCAGGATATGAGCAGAAAGAAATAAATTAAAGGTGGAGATTTAGAGCTAGAACAGGGGAACTTTAGTAGGAGTATGTTTGGTGGGCAGGGACAGAGAAAGAAACAGATGCAGCTGAAATGATGGTGTCAATTTTAGTGACCAAGAAACCAGTGAGTGTCTTGCTCTTGAAGGAAAGGGTGGAGGATGCAGTTCATCTGGAACTGTCAACACATCTGTGTGGAGTTTCTACATTCCCCCCCCCGTATTGGCGTGGGTTTTCTCCAGGTGCTCTGGTTTCCTCCCATGGTCTAAATATGCATAGGTTAGATGGATTGGCCATGTTAAATTGCCCATAGTATGAAGGGATGTGCAAGCTAGGTGGGTTAGCCATGGGAAATACACAGTGACAGGGATATGGTAGGGGGGTGGGTCTGGGTGAGTTGCACCTCAGAGGGTCGGTGTGGACTTGATAGGCCAAATGGCCTGTTTTCACACTGTAGGGATTCTATGATTCAATATGGGTTTATGACAACAGTTTAGAATGGAGACAAGTAGTGAGACAGTAAGGGTTTCATGATGTTTCGTTGTGTGCAGTTTTCGGCCCCATATCTCAGGAAGGATGTACTGGCCCTGGAGTGGGTTTAGAGGAGGTCCCAGGAATGGAAAGCTTAACATATGAGGAATGTTTGAGGATTCTGGGACTATACTCATTGGAGTTTAGAAGGATGAGGGGGGATCTAATTGAAACTTACAGAGTACTGAACGGCCTGGACAGAGTAGATGTTGGGAAGATGCATCCATTGGTAGGAGAGTCTAGAACCCAAGGGCACAGCCTTAGAGTAAAGGGAAGACCCTTTAGAATGGAGATAAGGAGAAACTTCTTCAGCCAGAAAGTGAATCTATGGAATTCACTGCCACAGAAGGCTGTGGAGGCCAGGTCATCGAGTACATTTAAGACTGAGATAGATAGGTTCTTGATTATCAAGGGGATCAAGAGTTATGGGGAGAAAGCAGGAGAATGGGGTTGAGGAACTTACCAGCCATGTTTGAATGGCAGAGCAGACTCGATGGGCCAAATGGCCTAACTTCTGCTCCTATGTCTTATGATCCTGATGATGAACGTCTAAACCAGTAAAATATTCAAGTTTATGGACTGAAAGAAGCAGAGATGACAGCTGTATCAGTGGGAGTGGCCAGGAAGTGAGAAGCAATCATTTTAACAGGGAGTGAAGCAAATGAGAGAGGTGACACTAGATGGGTAGGCCAATAGGCTGTAAAACTTTCATGGGGAATGAACAGCTAGACAATTGAGAGCTTGAAAGTAAAATTGAAAGTTTTCTTTTCAGGGGAAGGACAGAACAAAATGAAGTAGGGAGGGAAAGGGGATACTGTAAAGTAACGTAGAAAAAAAAGAACATTTACAGCATGAAGTGAGTCTGGAAATCCTCATATACAATATTACCAGAACAAAAACCACAACCTTCACAGTAGTAGTAAGAACTGCAGATGCTGGAGGAACAGGAAAGTTGACGTTTCGGGTTGCGACAAGAAGGGTCCCGACTCGAAACGTCAATTTTCCTGCTCCTCTGATGCTGCCTGGCGTGCTGTGTTATCACAACCTTCCAGGAGATCATACACACCCTCAGGGCACCCAAGTTGAATGACTCAAACCGAGCCTGGAGGATAGGCGTTAGCCAGAACATTCCTGGGCTTGTTCAAATAACGCCAAAGGGATATTTTAAGTCTACTTGAAAGGGTAGATATAGCAGAGTCAAAGTCTCATTCAAGCAGCCAACATTGTTTCGGTGGTGTCATGATCCATTCAGAGTGTTGGTTTCTGGTGGGGTGTCAGGTCAGGGTCTCGGGGATTTAAATGGGTTTGAGGTGTGAGGGGCAAATAAGTGGCTTATTAAATACTTACTCAAAAGTTAGACTACGTATTTAACATTGAAATTCCGGGCAACTATTCATCTATCTGCTACAGTCGAGCTAATAATATAACGACTTTCCAACATCTGTATCGTGCATCTCGACTAGCAAAACGTGAGGTAAACTGGCGCGCGCGATCACCAGCACGCGCATTCAGAGAGCGCGTGCACGAAGCGACAGGGGAAATGCACGCGTTCGGTCTCGTTCAGGGAGACAGACAAGATACGATGTACAGGCCCGAACCTCCACCTCTACCGGGCGGTTCCACCCCGGATACCTTTAGCCGTTGCCCCATAGAGATATTCCACTCGTTCGCGGACAGCCGCAATTCATCCGCCTCCTCGTCGAAGACGTCTTCGCTCTGATTTGCACCCAGCCGCCACATTGCTCCGGGCCGTTGCGAGCACCCTGCGGCGACACGCCGCTCTCCGCGAGTGGCCGCCCAAGTGCTGTCACCGGGATGACGTCATTGGAAGGGCGTTGTTTCTTGGGGGCACGTGACGGCCGCGCACGAGCCGAGCCTGGGGCGCGGTTAACGGATATCGGACTGTGCCCTGGGTCCCAGCCGTGCTCGTTGACCGCTCCTCTTAAAGGATGCTGAACCTTGCAGTGTGCTGTGATTCCGGCTCAAAGTCGGGCCTTTATCCGATGGAAGGCGAGCAAGCTACACGGAAAAAGAAGTTGAAGGTGACAGTGCCATTGTTCTCAGTGCCCACTAGTCTGGAATGCGTGGTACTGTGGAGCGTTAACAAAATAAAACAGTAGTTGCTGGAAAAGCTCAGGATGTCTGGCAGCATCTGTGAAGAAACAAAAAAAATCAGAGTTAACGTTTCGGGTCTGGTGACCCTTCCTCAGAGCAGGGCTGTAGGGCGCGTCGTCTCACCTGCCTCTCAAGGGAAAGTCAAAAAAAACTCTTGGACCAATCAAAGATGGCGCTTTGATTTAAGTTATTGGACCCAGGGATATGTTTATATCTTTTTACTGATTGATGTAGCAAGAAACTGCAGGTATCTTACGTTGGATAGAGTTTCATATGAATATGCGAACTAGGAACAGAGTGGGCCATTTGGCTCTTGGAGCCTGCTCCAGCATTCAGTAATATCATGGTTGAACTGCTTGTTTTGAATTCCATAATCTCACCTACCCCGAATAATCTCCATGACCCCTGCCTAACAAGAATCTACCTACTCTGTTTAAAAATATTCAAAGATCCTGCCTATACCACCTGAGACAGAGTTTCAAAGTTACGTGACCCTCAAAAAATTTCCCTTCATCTCTGTCCCAAAAGGGTGATCTTTTGTTTTGCTGTCAGCCACAAGGGAAAGCATCCTTTTCAAATCCATCTTAAGACCGTTCAGGATCTTCAAACAAATCATTCCACATTTGTTTAAACTCTCAAGGAAACAAGCCAAGTCTATCCAACTATTTCACAAGAGAAAACCTGCTCGTTCCAGGAATCATTATGAAAGGCTCCTCTGATCTGACTCCAAAACATTTAACCCTTCCTTAAGTAAGGAGACCAAGGTCTCACCAGTACTCTGGTGAAACAGAAGTGTAATATTCTTACCTTAATGTTCAATTTCTGTTGTTTATAAAGGATATTATCCTATTAGTCTTTTAGATAATAACTGCAATGTATGTAGTAATTTTAACATAAAATATACCAAGATTCATCTCGAGCATTATATAAGCTGCATAAGGAGATACTTGACCACATGATCAAAAGCTTTGTCAAAGAACAGTGTTTAAAGAGTGTCTTAAAGGAGCAAACAACATAGAGAGGCTGAAAGGGAAGTAATTCTCGAGTTTTAGGTCTAGGAAATGGTGTGATTAAATTCAGGGATGGCCAACATGCCAGAATTAGTGGAGAGTGTGTGTATCTTGGGGGTTCACAGAATCAGACTGTCATGTCTGTGCCAGCTCCCCAAAATAATTATCTCACTTCGTGCCATTCTTGTGGGTCTTTCTCCCCATAACCCTGTACATTGTTCTTTTCAACTACTTATCTAACTCATTTTTCAATGCTGCAATTGAATCTGCCACCTCCAAGCTCAAATTATACATTCTGGATCTCAACCACTCAAATGAAAATGTTTTTCCGTATACCATGTTCACTTGTTTTTACTAATTACTTTAAATCTATGCCCTCTCATTCCAAATCCTTTCACAATTGGGGATATTTTCTCTGTATTTACTCTACCCTGATTTCTCATGGCTTTGAGAATTTTAATCAGATCTTCTCACAGGCATCTCTTTTCCAAAATGGCATGTGGACTCATAAGCTCAGCAACCGAGAGCTTGTCTGTTCTGTCTGCTTTTACATGTTTTTTACTTATTTCATCTTTTCTTTCTCTTTTTTTTTCAGCTTCTGACATTGTGGGGAAGCTAGAGTGGTGTCGACTTGCTGCAGCGGTGGCAGTGAAGACTCCTGACTGCAGTAGGCCCAGAGCCTGGACTTGGTGGGTCGTTGGCTGTGGCAGTGCTGGGTGCCTGGAACGGGGCTGCAGTAGGCTCAGAGCCTGGACTCGGGAACTTGTCGGGTTGTTGGCAGCGGTGGCAGTGACACCCAGAAGAGGACTACTGGCTGTGGTAGGCCTGCAGCATGGACCCGGGACTTGGGGGACTTTGGCTGCGGCAGAGGCAGTGCCTGGAGCAAGGACTCCTGGCTGCGGGACCATGCGGAAACCTTGGAAAAGCCCTCTACTTGTGTTTGTACACCCCTTGATCAGAAGATTAGCTGTATTTATGTAATTTCTGTTTTATTCCTTTTCTAATCTGGAGGCTAGGTGCCAGCACGAATTGGGAGGGAAGGACTGTAATTCGGAACTTTTTATTCCTTTATTTTTCTATTTTATTCCTATGATTTTGAACTTTTGTAATTTATTCCTAGGAATCTGGATTTAAGAATCTGTACCTAGGTACCTTGTAGCTGAGATGGTGCCTTAAGTGGCGACTTGTAAACTTTTCACTGGACTCATGTGAGTACATGTGACAATAAAGCTAATTCTAATTCTCCAAGGAGATCAACTGTAGCTTCTTAAATCTGTAATCATTACTTAACTTCCTTATCCCTGGAATTATTGTCATAAACCTCTTCTGCATTCTGTCCAATACCTTTGCGTCCTTCCCAGAAGTGGATGCAGTACTCTATCTCAGTTTGAACTCGTGTCTCATACAGGTTTACTATAATTTTCTTGATTTTGTATTCTGTGCCCCTATTAAGCTGAGGATATTGTATGCCATGAATTGCTCTCTCAACCTGTACTACCATCTTTATGACATGAATATCTACACCCAGGTCCCTCTGCTCCTGCATCCCCTTTAGCTTTACTGTCTTTGTAGATGATATTTATTTGGATTTTAGTGAAGCCTTTAACAAGATTCTGCATGGCAGACTAATTAGTAAAGTTAGGTCACGTGGGTTACAGAGTGAGCTTCCCAATGGGATACATAACTGGCTTAACGGCAGAAGTAATGGTGGAGAGTTGCTTTTTGGACTGGAGGCCTGTGACCTGTGGCATTCCACAGGGATTGGTTCTGGGTCCTCTTTTGTTTGTCAGTTATATAAATGATTTGGATGAGAATATAGACGGCATGGTTAGTGAGTTTGCAGATGACACCAAAATTAGTGGCATTGTAGACAGTGAAGAAGGTTTTCTAAAATCACAAGGGGATGTTGATCAAATAGGTCAATGGGCTGAAAAATGGCAGAGGAAGTTCAATCTGGATAAATGCGAGGTATTGCATTTTGGTACAACAAACAAGGGTAGGGCTTATACAATTAATAGTAGGGCCTTAGGTAGTGTTCTGGAACAGAGGGACCGAGAGGTGCAGGTACATAATTCTTTAAAGTTTGTGTCACATTTTGCCTCTGGTCAGCAAGATGGCGGCAGGGTAAGTAACTCCATTTGGAGCTCCACTCTGCTTGCTAGTTCTCCTTCTCTTTCTTTCTTTGACCTATTTTTTTTTCCTCCCTTCTTCTCTCTACCTCTGTAGTAATTCTATCCTCCCCACCCCTTTTAACTACCTACCTAAGGAATCGGGAAGAAGCTGGGTAGCGACTGTGAACCATGTGGTGGGAGCTGAATTTGCGGGTTGTGTCCTGCAGCAACAGCGATTGAGTGTGGGCTGGAGCAACAGCGGTGGATCAAGAGTGGGCTGGTGAGGCAGCCCAGAGCAAGACACTGGCAGCAGTATGGCATGGGCTGGAAATCCAGGAGCGGGACTCTGGCGGAGGCATGGCGAGGGCCAGAAAGCCCGGAGCAGGATGCTGGCAGAGGCCTGGCGAGGGCTGGAAAGCCCAGAGCAGGATTCTGGTGGAAGAATGATGAGGGCTGGAAAGCCCAAAGTGAGACTCTAGTGGAAGCATGGCAAGGGCTGAAAAGCCTGGAGCGGGACTCTGGCACAGGCATGGTGAGGGCTGGAAAGCCTGGAGCGGGACTTTGGCGCAGGCATGGGGAGGGCCAGAAAGCCTGGAGTGGGACTCTGGTGGAAGCATGGCGAGGGCTGGAAAGCCTGGAGCGGGACTCTGGCACAGGCATGGTGAGGGCTGGAAAGCCCAGAGCAGGACTCTGTTGGAGGCATGGCGAGGACTGGAAAGCCCAGAGCGGGACTCCAGTGGAAGCATAGCGAGGGCAGAAAAGCCCAGAGCAGCACTCTGGTGGAGGCATGGCGAGGGCTGGAAAGCTCTGAGTGGGACTGCAGCAGTAGAAAGGAAAGTTCAACTCTCTTAAGTTATCTTTTTTTTCTGTCTTATTCTAAGTTAATGTGAATGGCACCGTTTATGTACGGCAAAGGTACACACTTTTCACTGTATTTTTACATTGAAAACTCGTGACAATAAATTATTCAATTCGATTCACATTTGGACAGGATGGTTAAAGGCATTTGGCATGCTTGCCTTTATTGCTCAGGCCTTTGAGTACAGGAGTTAGGAAGTTATGTTGAGGTTGTACAGGACAATGGTAAGGCCTCTTCTGCAATACTGTTTGCAGTTCTGGTTGCCCTGTTATAGGAAGAATATTATCAAGCTGGAGAGGATTCAAAAGAGATTTAGCAGGATATTGGAGACTACACAGTGTGGAGCTGGAGGAACACAGCAGACCAGGCAGCATCAGAGGAGCAGGAAAGTTGACGGTTCGGGTTGGGACCTTTCTTCAGAAATGGGAGGGGGAAGGGAGCTGGGAAATAAATAGAGAGAGGAGGGGTGGGGCTGGAGAAGGTAGGTGGGATGGTGATAGGTGAGTGCAGGTAGGGAGTAGTGGCGATTGATCAGTGGGTTGGGTGGGGCAAATTGGTGGAAAAGAAGATGGACAGGTTGTGTCAGGTCAAGGAGCCGGGGTTGAGAAAGCATTGCTCCTCCAGTTTATGTGGTGCCATTGTGACAC